AAAAATGTACCGATGTTCAATCCTTTGGCCGCCTTAGATGGAGGACGTCGACGAGATGGAAGCGCTAATGATCCATTGGCTAACGATCGCCAAAGCATACAGAGTCACTTCAATCTTGCCACAAAAATCTGCAACGTGAGTTTTGCTTATTTTCATTATTTTTTCAATTGTTTATCAAATGTCATAGTCTAACAGAGTCTGTTGAAGTTTTGCATTGTCGACAACACGTGCACAGCGTAAAAAAATGAACAAGGTACTATTATGCGCACCATGGTCATTCTTTCGCGCAAGTGTTGTTTGGCAGCTCTGCCTCACATCGACCTTCAAATCTCTCTCATGGAAGAGCTGTCAGGTCATTTCAGTACTGTCACTTGCGCAACCCACAGGCTATCTCATCGTGAGTGTCAGAGCTCCAGTGGTTTGGCGCTTTGCGGCCGCATCGCTTGATCCCCGCAAGCGTTTGCGAATGCACCCTTTGATTCAACGGGATCGACGGCTGAAAGGTGACCGCTCGCGTCCGCGACGCAGTCTGCGTCTCCCTCGCGAGCCTGCTTCTGATCATTCTCTAGCTTTTGAAACCCCGCCTTAGCCGCCATCCAGTTGAATCAGAGGGATCCTCTGGGCGTTTCCGCCCTCCTCGGCATCTATTGAGGACCACTTAGGTACGCGCCATACTTAATCCAGTTAATTCATTTGATCCACTTGACCACTTCGTCATTGGTCAATTCGGTGTACTGAACAATACTGAAATGGATGAAGTGGATCGGGTGAATCAGTGGACACCCGCATCGCTATTCGTCAGTTCACTTCTTGACCAATGACGAAGCGTATCAAGTTCAAGCGGATCAAGTATGGCGCGTGCCTTAGGCTTATGACAATTACCAGCGGATACAGTGCGAACGCGAAGCGAGACGGACGGAAAATCCCAAACCGCGGGAGCTCTGACAATCACATTGAGACAGCCTATAAACATAGTCGTTCTGTAGTCGCAATCTAGAACCCGCATAGTTATTGCATTGCTCAATCGAGCTTGCAAGGATGAGATATGATAGAGCCGTTGCTGAAGGAACGGCTCTCTCATATCTCATACACATAAGTGGAACTTGTCCTGAAATGTAGCAACGCGTCATACATACTTGTGTGGTCTTTATAACGCAGGAAAACCTGGAACACAGGTTTTTGCTTTGAAAGACCCTTTGACTAATTAGTTTTGGTGATTCAGTTTCGCAAGTTACTGCTGTCGCTGGATCGAATGGAGAACGACGAAGATAGCGATCCTGATGGTGATATGCCGATTGTTGCGAAAGAGCATGACGACGATGATGCTGACGGCGTTGAACCTGGCGTTGATTCTGTGGAAGTTGATTCCTAGACCTCGTTGCTGTATTCATAATCCCTCAACTACTTCCTCCTCCGTTTCCCCGTTTTTCTGCCTCAATGTGATATACTAATCTTGACTAGTTTGCGCCACTATGCCATAGTGTCAAAGGTTTTTTTTGCTAATGTGATCCAGTTTGCATTCAGGATGACATTGGCTGCAAAGAGCGTTGTATATGAGCGCGTTTTTTCTGCGTTTAGTCATTATTTTTTCTCACTGATGCTGGTGCGTATGCTCTTCCTAACATACCATGAACTTACCTCAGCTTAGTGTTTCCCATATTTAGTCTCTTTATCGCAATGGCCCCGTATAGGCACAGATATTATCTATACAACTTATATTTCTTGTATTGTAATTGAACGTCAGGTAGCTCTTATATACTCAGTGCTTCCTGTCGTTAAGTACCAGTAATAATCCTAGAAGGATCCCCTCCCCTACTGTAAATAAGCTCTGTACGATTCTCTTGTGCTCTCCCATTCTCTGTGAATTTTTTTCTAAGTGCTGTTTTTGGTTATGTTGATCTCTTAGCACTGCGTTGTTCTTTTTCTGCATCTCGTTACAACTACCACACCCCGCTGTTGCGCAGTCAATCACAAGCCAAATTCTGAAAATTTACAGCGAATATGGCTAATATACAAAAAAATCGCATGTTGCATATATCTTTCGAATAAGATCGTACTTCTGTTGAAACAGATGTAGAGATGATGAAAATAAATAATTACTATATTTCTTTTTCGCAATTTTATTGAGAAAAAAGTTGAACGAAACCTGGACTCAACATTAACACAAATCAAATCATTCACTGTTCATTTCCACTTCCACTTCTTTTTCCTTTTCTCTGCGTGGGATCCTGCTTGCAAGCTCATCGCGCAGCACATGCCCATAGGGTGAACGAGGAATCTTTTCGATGAATTCAATCCCGCCATTTAGTTGCTTGTAGCTTTCCTTCAGACGATCTAAAGCACTTACTTTTTGAAACGTGCCTCACTGAGAAAGACGCATGGGAAGTTCACCTTGTATGTACAGTTTAACGTCTTCAGTTGTAAGTGCGTCATCGAATGGTACAACGAAAGCGCTCATAGTCTCCTGATCTTCAGCTCCTACAACAGCGGCATCCAAGATTGAGGGATGGCGGAGAAGTGCGTCTTCAATTTCGTTCAAGCACACCTAAAACATCGACTTAGAGTTTTTGAATTTGCCATAATTTATTCCCGATGTCGTACTCGAAGTTGCTTTCTGTAGGTGTTAAGGCTTTTATCGCAAAAAAAAGCTTTACGTATGCGGTGCATGGTTAACTGTATCTCTTGATGCTCAAAGTCTTCTGCCTGACGGAGGCGCAAAATAATATTGGTTGAGCGGACGCGAACGCGGCGTGCGCAGTCAGATTGTTGCAAACCGTTCGTCTATGCATTCTGTGGCTAATAACTGCGCTCGCGCTCCGAAATTTTGCGCCTTCGTCCGGTAATAGACCTTGGATTTTGAACAGATCGAATTGACGCTGTAAGTGTGAGTGCGAGCCTCGCTTGGATCTTACGCCACATATTCGACTTATACGATGGTCATTTCCTTATTTTAAGCGCGATTGAAGGCTGGGAAAGTGGCCAGAATTTGTAGACTCTAGATTGCGCCGCGTTCGCGAACGCGGGCAATCTAGAGCGAGGCAGCCGCGAGAGGTCTGAGCAATGGACGTGTGACATTGTTAGAAGATAGCTTGAAGCCTGTCGCCATTTACCTGATTCCCGCACACACTGATAAAGTCATCCAGGCGACCATCCACAAATATATTGTCGTGCTGATCGAAATGACCAACTTCGCCTGAAAACTTATCGTACATTCCCAGAAAATGGCTGGTACAGGCGAGTCATCACGCGCAGAGATTGGCTGCTGTTGCGACTGACCTAAACATTCCGCGCTCGTAAATAGGCAGATGGCAAGAGGGACGGAAGTGCGCTTAAAAGGGCATCGACAGCGTCCGCATTGATGGCATGTCTCTGCGGCGACTAGTCGTCTATCGTTGATTCGTTGACCGCACGGACTGCAGATCAC